TGTAATATAAATGACTATATATTGGTATAAATATTATTATTATAAAAGTTCAAATCTATTTATTAACCCACACAGTTACATTTTTCATTTTGTTGCTATATATTTCATGCCAACAAATTAACCTTTCCACAGGTGTAATGGGAAAGGAAGGGAGACAGGCGGTGAGATGCGCTGACTTTGCCTTCGCGAGGTTCAAGTTCCTGAAGAAGGTGCTGCTGGTGCACGGCCACTGGTACTACACTCGCGTTTCCACTCTCGTGCAGTACTCCTTCTACAAGAACGTGGCCTTTATCACTCCACAGCTCTATTTTGCCGTTATGTCTGCCTTTTCGACACAGGTAATTTTGAGAAGGACGGGAGGTGAGAGAAAGGTAAAATTAACGAATATGCCCATATATTTATTAATCTTTACGTGTCCATATATGTTTGCATAGTTATCTATCGTGTTAGCTATATCCATGTCTAGCAGATCTAGCAGATATATAGATAGAATAGATAGATAGAGAGAGAGAGAGAGAGAGAGAGAGAGAGAGAGAGAGAGAGAGAGAGAGGAGAGAGAGAGAGAGAGAGAGAGAGAGAGAGAGAGAGAGAGAGAGAAGAGAGAGAGAGAGAGAGAGAGAGAGAGAAAGAGAGAGAGAGAGAGGAGAGAGAGAGAGAGAGAGAGAGAGAGAGAGAGAGAGAGAGAGAGAGAGAGAGAGAGAGAGAGAGAGAGAGAGAGAGAGAGAGAGAGAGAGAGAGAGAGAGAGGAGAGAGAGAGGAGAGAGAGAGAGAGAGAGAGAGAGAGAGAGACAGAAGAGACAGAGACAGAGAGAGAGAGAGAGAGATGTATACGGTATTCATATCATACACAATATCGACATTACGCTTCTAAGGCAACTTTTCCGATCCAACAAAAACGTTCCCACCATCTATACTTTTCCGCATTTCCAGCCAGTGTACGACGCGCTCGCCCTGACCATGTTCAACATCACGTTCACTTCCCTTCCCGTGTTTTTGTGTTCGGCCTTCGCTCTTCGAAAAACCTCCCGGCGGAATTGCTCATGAAGTGCCCTCACCTCTACCAGCGGATCGCCAACAACTCAGCCATGTCGTGGCTTATGTTCTTCAAGTGGACTCTGTTTGGTATGCGCTGTCTTCCCCTTTTGGGTTTGTGTTTATGTGGCTTTGGTGGCGTTGTGTTCATGGTATTGTTTTTGAGTGTTTTTATTTGCTTTGTTGTATTTGATTATGTTATCGTTTATGTTTTTGTTTGCTTGTCGCATTTGTTTATATTATCATTTAATTCATGGAGTTTTTTGTTTGTCTGTGGCGTTTGTTTATATTATCGTTTAATCTACATGCTTGTGAAAGATTATTGCTCCACATCAGTATGCTTTGGATAGGAATTCCCCCCCCCCACCACCACCACTTTTACGTGCAGCATTTCCATATCACATTAAAAAAAATATATAGAAACCTTTCATTTCGACACATTTCAGTACCTCAAACACTGACACCTCTCTTTGTATTCCTGCAGCCCTGTGGCATACACTCGTCATGTATTTCGGTCTGTATTTCGTGTATGCAGACGACACCCCAGGGCTTCCCGATGGCCAGACACCCGACCTCTTTCTCTTCGGCACAACACTCATTAGCATCTGTGTTGTGGTCACCAATCTCAAGGTTCGTTATAAAGAGTTCTCGTTTTAAGAGGCAAAGTGATGCAGATAGAAATTGTATGAATTACTTGTATGGTAAGGAAAGGGAGATGGTAGATGTGTAATAGTTTTGGAAGTTGTTAGAGCAATAAATATATATCAAATAGGGTGGTATGTGCCATTCATACCTGGCGAGGAATATTATGTAGGTCGATTTTGTAAAGATTGGGTAATACATATCCAGTTCATTTTTCTTAGATGAGTGATCTATAATTCATTACATACGGTAAGAATTGTATAAGAACGATCCTGACTTTATCTATCCTAACACAAAATAGTCTATACCCAGTGCCCCACTCCCCCCTTCAAGTCTCCAAAACTGACCTCCAACTCTTCAAAACATCAAAGCAAATTCATCTAATCTCTCTAAAAGGAAAACAAATTCCTTTGCCAGAAACCCTACGGGATGTATCCTATTCAACGAAAAGATGAAATTCAGAAACCAAATAAAAAAACATTCAGAAACCATATAAAATAATAATAATAATTTTTTTTTTTTTTTGCTCTCTCTCTTTACAGCTGGTTCTCGAGGCTCACTACTTTACCCACTTCTTTGTGCTCTCTGTGGTGCTCTCGCTGCTGTTCTATGCGGTGCAGTGTCTCATCTACCACGGCGTTTGGATGTAAGTGGGTGGCGTGTGTGCGAATGTGTGTGTGTGTGTGTATAGATCAGAAGAGTGAGAGAGAGAGAGAGAGAGAGAGAGAGAGAGAGAGAGAGAGAGAGAGAGGAGAGAGAGAGAGAGAGAGAGAGAGAGAGAGAGAGAGCAGAGAAGCAAAAAGAAAAAAATGCACGAGCGAATGAATAATAAAAAAAAACACAATCGCACTAACAAACATTGATCGAATAAAAATGGTTGAATATAGACACAACCAATCCTCCTGTTCCCATTCCTATTCCCATTCTCACTCGATTCCAGTTCGGGCTACGGGTCGTTGGAACCTGACGTCTTCTGGTCGTACTACCGAATGTTCGAGAGTCCGGCGCTGATGCTCGCCTCCGTCCTCCTCGGGGTCGTCTGCCTCGTCCCTGACCTCGTGGACAAGGTCGTACTCGGGGCCAAGGACGAGAGGGTCAAGTTCAGAAGAGAGAAGGTAAATATTTCGTGTTTCTGATCTCTCTTTCTCTTTCTCATTGTCACTTTTTTCTCTCTTTCTCTTTGTCTCTTTTTTTCTCTATTTCTCTTTGTCTCTCTTTCTCTTTGCCTCTTTGTCTCTTTTTCTCTATTTCTCTTTGTCTCTTTTTCTGTCTTTCTCTTTGCCTCTTTGTCTCTTTTTGCCATGACCTATATTGCCTTTATCATCTTCATCAGTACCATCCTTCTCACAGCCATCAATAAAAACACTATTATCCTTATCATCAATAACAGATCAAACAGATCAAGTCACGTGACGTCATCCCCCAGCACTATGTTGCCTATGTCAATGAAGCATTTACATACGCTGAAGAAGACGAGGCCGTGTGAGGGGGGGGGAGGAGGAGGAGCTCTTGGAGGAAATGAAACCAAAGGATTCGCCAAACATCTGCTCGGCTCAGAAGGCAGGAGACAGGTCGACCATACTATAGAAAGTATTAAAGTGTATGAGGTATAAGGACTATGTGTGTGTGTGTGTGTGTCTGTGTGTATTTATATGATATATATATGTATATGTATGTATGTATATATATACATATATATATACATATATATATTATATATATATATTATATATTATTATATATGTATATATTATGTATATATATAATATATATATATATATATAATATATTGTGTGTGTGTGTGTGTGTGTGTGTGTGTGTGTGTGTGTGTGTGTGTGTGTGTGTGTGTGCCGCGTGCACATGTGTGCCCATGCAGTATTATGATATTCAACTTATGAATTCTGAACTCTGAAAGCAGCGTTTGTACTCATTGTTTTAATTGTACAAATACATCACATTCTTCATCCTGATATAGATGTGTTTTATTTCCTTTAGTCTCTTTAAGCCGCTCAAACCAGGAAATATTTGTCACCTTAATTGGAATTATTAATCTGCCTCATCATATCAATTCAGGTTAGGATGGTTCCAACAATTTTTGTTTAATTTCTTTGAACATGGGATAATACTGTCATACTTCTTTAAATACTTCTTATTTACACCCAAAAATCTGTATTTATACAAAATAACAAAAATACAGTCTAAGGAGAAAAAAATCCATACTGAATTCATCACCCGTCGGTTGTGTTTTGTTTACGTTTATCAGACGAATTTCCGTCGAATTCAAACCCTGGCACGCATTTCGTTTTTTCCTTTTTTTCAATACTTGCGCAGCCATCTATCGGCAAATTTGACTGGTCTCTTGTCACAATACTTGTTGCTCGTTTCGGATGTATAGTGTATTGATAGTGATAGTGTTTCCGAATTCTTACACAATATTTAAGTGAAATGACCAGTTAAAGAAGTTGTGACCTTAGGGATAACACAAAATTCCGTGAAATACAACACCGGTGCTCGACCTGCAGAGGTTCATCATCTTCCCTTCACCACAAGGTAAACAGTCTGCTTCTTTAAATGTAGAGAATATTCTGAAGGACGAAGCATGGAAATGTAGATAATTTGAGAAGGGGTAGAGCGAAGCCCCCGAGTAGCTTTATGCCATGGTAAGGAGGTCCTGGAGTAGAGACCGGGCTACGCAAATTTTAGTTTCATTGGCGATTTTTTTGTTGTTGAGCGTTTAGGAAGGGGGTTCATTCGCTCGTTCGTTCGAGCAACACCGTGTCGAATCATCCGAGTTTTTTACGATCGAATCTCTGCTCTCCCCCCCCCAACACACTTTTCTTTTCTTCTTTAGCTTTTTTTTCTTTTTTTTTTAATAATGAGCGAATTCGTCCATATGCCCCACTCCACTCAAAATCCCAAGATATCAAAAACAAACATTAAACTACTTTTAAATTTATTTTTATTTTTATTGGAATGTATTATTTTGATTTATCTGTTATCAGATGTTAATTTATTGGTAGTTTATTCAACATTATATTACATATATGTGTGTGTGTGCGTGTGCGTGTGTGTGCGTGTGCGTGTGCATGTGCGTGTGTGTTTATTTAATGCATATGAGTGAACGCATTAATATTTGTTACACTCTGAAGAAACACATAATACCCGTACTCTTGGAGCAAATTTCATATTAAAGAAGAAAAAAAGAAAGTACAAAAATATCATGGTATCCCCGAAAACCACACCCGTTTTCTATAGTACTTCTGGCTTGTGATCAGGTGATACTGATGTTTCGTCGGCGTCAAAAGCTTCATTTATTTGGCACACCTTTACCAAAGACTCTCCTCGAAGCTTCTGCAAAAGATACAACATAATTAAAAACTAAAACAAATTGTATCATGTATTCTTTAGATAATGTGATTTCACACCAATCACTGTTGTGTCTTATAGGTGTGTGCCTCCTGTTATCAACACTGGCCTGCATCCTGATTGATAAGTATCCGTTTATGTAGGGGTTTATATAGGTGTGTGTGTGTGTTTATATATATATATATATATATATATATATATATATATATATATATATATATTCATATTTATTTATATGTAATATATATTTATATTTATTTATATTATATATATATTTAATTATATTTATTATATTTTATGTATATATTAATTAATTTACATATATACATATATATTATATATATATGTATATATGTATTTGATATATTTATTCATATGTATATATACATATATTATATTATATGTATATATATATACATATATAATTATATACAAACATACATATACATACATACATATATATATATATATATATATATATATATATATATATATATATATAATATGAACGTATGTATGTATAATAAGTACATATATGCACATGCACCCGAGTGCCTCATCGGCGGAACACAACCCACCTTCCGCGCGCGCTTCGCCTTCGCCCACAGCTTAACCTCGGGGTCCAGCGAGCGAGCCAAGACTTTCATGAGGAGATCGGGCAACAGACACGCCACGCCCACCACCAGGCAGCCGAGGTTCAGCGAAGGGCTTTCGAAGAGACGGTAATACGCAGCGTAGATCCCGTACTTGACGAAGGGTTCCCTGTAGGAGGAGGAGGGGAGCAAGACAGTGAGAAGGCGGGGGGGGGGGGCAAAGACAGTGAGAGAGGGAGAATGAGAATGGTGAGAGAGGGAGAAGGATAGGGGGAGGTGGAGAGGGAGAGGGAGGGAGAGGAGAAGGATGGTAGGAGGTGGAGAGGGAGAGGGAGAGGGAGAAACAGTAAGAAAAAGAGAATGAAAGTGATAAAGAGAAAACGAACGGGAAAGAAAGGAAAAAAACGCCATAACCGAGAAGTACTGACTCATGCTGGAGTATCTTACATGCCTTTAATGCAAAATTAATATCAGTGTGAATACAAAGGCGAGTGTTTGACCGCCTAATAAGAAGAAATACTTACACTGGAATGCCGCTGTACAGAAGATACAAGGCTGCATACCCCACTGTGGTGATGACCAGAGACCCGAGTAACACCACGTTATAGAAATTGGCTTCAAGTACAATCTGCAAAAATAGGTCTATGAGGAGAGAGATGAGAGATGAGAGAGAGAGAGAGAGAGAGAGAGAGAGAGAGAGAGAGAGAGAGAGACGAGAGAGAGAGAGGAGAGAGAGAGAGAGAGAGAAGAGAGAGAGAGAGAGAGAGAGAGAGAGAGAGAGAGAGAGAGAGAGAGAGAGAGAGGGAGAGAGAGAGAGAGAGAGAGAGAGAGAGAGGAGAGAGAGAGAGAGAGAGAGAGAGAGAGAGAGAGGAGAGAGAGTAGAGAGAGAGAGGGAGAGAGAGAGAGAGAGAGAGAGAGAGAGAGAGAGAGAGAGAGAGAGAGAGAGAGAGAGAGAGAGAGAGAGAGAGAGAGAGAGAGAGAGAGAGAGAGAGAGAGAGAAAGAGAAAGAGAGAAAAAAGATATGAAGAGTAAAGATAGGAGAAAGAAAGAGAGGAAGAGTGAAGAGAAGAAAAATACAGAGCGAGAAGCACAAAAATAAAGAGAAAGAGAAGGAAATAAAGAAAAAAAATAACACAAATAACCAACCCCAAACCAACCAAACCCCATCCCCCGCGTGCGAAACGGAAGCAACGAGACTCGACCGAGCGACGGACCGAGAGGGAGAAAGAGAGAGAGAGAGAGAGAGAAACCTTCATGTTCGTGACGAAGGTACAGAGTGTCCCGAGCGCGAGGCCGAAGACGTAGAGGTCCTGCGTGGCGCCATCGGGTAGACCGCACGTGTCATCCCAGCACGTGAGCCACAGCCCGAAGAACATTGCAGCCGCGTGCCAGAGAGCTGTGGGGAAAGCAGGATGGGGGAGGGAGTGAGAGTCGAGTGAGCGAAGAGAGAGAGAGAGAGAAAGAGAGAAAAAGAGAGGGAGGGAGAGAGAGAGAGGGGGGTGTGGGGAAAGCAGGATGGGGGAGGGAAGTCGAATGAGAAGAAGGGAGGGAGAGAGAGAGAGAGAGAGAGAGAGAGAGAGAGAGGGGGGAGGGGAGAGAGAGAGAGGGGGGGGGCTGTGGGGAAAGCAGGAATGGGGAGGGAGTGAGTCGAATGAGAAGAAGGGAGGGAGAGAGAGAGAGAGAAAAAGAAGAGAGAGAGAGGGAGAGAGAGAGAGGGGGGCTGTGGGGAAAGCAGGATGGGGGAGGGAGTGAGTCGAATGAGAAGAAGGGAGGGAGAGAGAGAGAGAGAGAAAAAAGAGAGAGTGAGGGGGAGAGGGAGGGAGGGAGGAGAGAGAGAGAGGTGGGCTGTGGGGAAAGCGAGATGGGGAGGGAGTGAGTCGAATGAGAAGAGGTGTGAAGAGGAGCTGATAAGGATAGGGGCGGAAGGGAGGGGAGTGGGAGGGAGGTAGAAGGAAGGAGGGAGGGAGAGGGGGGAGGTAGAGGGAAAGAGGGAGTTAGAGGGAAGGAGGGAGAGAGAGAAAATGAGAAAAACAGAAAGACCTGAGTAGAGGGAGAAAGGAGAAAGAGCGTAAATCGAAAGAAAGAAAATAAAGATAAACAATCTTCAAATATCAATTCAGACAATACCAGTCACAAGTTTTACAAATGACGGATCCCTCCTTTAACCTTACCGAAGAAATTCCACTTGAGGAACATGAGCCACGACATCGCAACGTTATTGGCATTTCGCTGGTAGAGGTGCGGCCGCGTCAGGAGGGTGTCGGGGGGAATGTTCTGTTCAAACAAGCCGTAGACCAGCACAGGCAGGGACGTGAATGTAATGTTGAAAGCGGTCAGCGCCAAACTCTCGTACAAACTCTGCAATCCAAATAGGAGGGCGTTTCGTTTTTGTTTTTTTTTAATAGTTTCGCGGGAAATATTTGGGAATAGTATTATGAACTGTGATATAATAGAATGAGGTATTTTTTTTAATATATGATTAGTATGACTTTACAATTCCTAAACAAAGTACTAAGATAAACACATCTCTTTCTTTATTATGGCCACAATTCCTAAGCAAAGTACTAAGACAACTTTTTTCCTATATTACAAAGCATTTGTACGAACACATTTGTCCGAACACATTCGTCCGAACACGTAACCCAAACATCCATCTTTACAAATGACCAAAATACCTGCGTAGAGAAGGCATTCCAAATGGAGTAGAAAACGATCGGGGTATTGAAGGCAACGTTTTTGTAGAACGAGAACTGAACGAAGACAGCGACGCGAACGTAATTCCAGTGGCCATGAACGAGCAGCATCTTCTTGAGGAACCGGAACTTGGCGAATCCGAAGTCGGAACAGCGAACTGCCTGTCGACCTTCTTTTCCCATGATGCCTTCGGGGAAAAAATAGTTCTTGTAAGAGTTTGTTATTTGAGTGATTTAAAACGACCTTCTTTCCCCATGATGCCTTCGGGGGGGGGGGGGAATCTTGTGAGAGTTTGTAATTTGATTCGAAAATATCAAGGCAGTGGTTGAAGGTTTAGTGATCAAGATGGAATTTAATGGAAAGTAATACTATTTGTACTGTATTCTTCATGCCATAGAAAACGTTTAAGATATTACAACCAAAGATGGAAACCTCCAAACGAATTATCAGAACCACTACAGGAAAAGTATTTAGGAATGACAAGCAAATCAAAATTCCCGCATCTACGACTCACCTAGGCCTACATGCGCCTCCTGGATCATGGACACGTCGTTGGCTCCGTCTCCGATGGCGGCGCAGATCGGGTGCTCTCGAGACGTCTTAGCCATGTGCACTATCTGGGGGAAGGAGAGGGACGAAGTCAGGGGATATAGACTACACAAAAGTCTAAAACCCTATAAGACAAGAAGAATATGGACGAAGAACCGCGTTAATAAAGCACAAATTGGATCCATTCGAGAAAAGCGTGTCGTTAGAAGTTTAGGAAGCGCTCCCTTGACTTGATTTAATTATGTTTTCTAAATTTCGCTATAGCTCGGCCTTTCCTTAATTACTGAGGTTTTTGGATGACGTTGCCTCATTCAGATGCATATAAAATCACATCCAACTATATACGTTTCCTTCATTTTTCGACTCGACTTGATTACTAAGTGGGATTATCCATGAATGAAGTTTTTAGGGAAAATACGAACCAAAATTCGACAAATATATACCTCAGCCTTCTGCTTCGGCGACATCCTGCAGCAGACGACGGACCAGCACCTTCTCCCCACGGCGTAGAACTCCTCCTTGAAGTGTTCAAGGAGGAGAACGAGCGACTGGCCGTCCACCACGAGGCCAAAAGACCCGTCGTTGTTGCAAGCTTCCCTGCGTTCAACGAGACGCCCGGTTAGGAAACGTATTTTGGATCAGGGGGAAAAAATGGAGGGAAAGAGCATTGAATGGAAAGAAAGATGGGGTGACTAGGAAAATGGAGGTAGAAGTAATGGGTGAAAATAGATTTAACAAAAAATGGAGTTTGAATTAAGCGCAGTAAGGTTTTTATTCTGGAGTTACAATGGGTTTCCTTGGCTTTGACATTGTAAATCATATATTTTTATGCTTCATAATATTTATATACATGATACAACGAAAGTCATATCTAATACTTCTAATAATTTCTAATAATATTTATTACTATATAAAGGCATGGAGCTGCTATATTTACAGTAGCACTATTCAAGTTTCATTTCCTGTTTTCATACGAAATATTCCTCGATAAATTTCGTAATCATATCAGTATCATTACTTTAACATGTAATGTACTTTTTAAAAGAGTGACACCGGTAAAATGTTTCATTTTATTTTATTAACTATAAAAGGGCATCAAATGGCAGTTGCTGACGTTTCTACATGCAAAAACATTTCCTCCCCGGCGGGGAATCGAACCCCGGTCTCCCGCGTGACAGGCGGGGATACTAACCACTATACTACCGAGGAATTGTTACTTTAGGTAGACCTTTGTACGTGTGACCTTTCCCCTTTCTGTGCTTGCTAACCTAACCAGTATACTGCTTTGTAAATATACTTTTCTTCGTACCTCTATCCCATCACTTTTCTGTTCCTAACCTTATTCTCAATTACTCTATTCTTTATTTTTCCCTTTCCCAATTACTCTATTCTTTATTTTTCCCTTTCCCAATTACTCTATTCTTTATTTTTCCCTTTCCCAATTCTCCCCCTGTTTATTACACCCACCTGTACTCTTGTAGTTGGATGTCAGCGGTTTCCTTGTCGTGTAGGCCGGTCAGAGTCAAGATCGTCATGAACCTTTTAAAGTGACCGCAGGAGTAAGCTATATTTACAGCCGTTTCCACCTTGTCACCCGTCAGCACCCAGACCTGCGTATTCCAAACTTTTACTAAGGAAGCCCACTCACTAATACTCTGCGTGTGCGTGGCGAGTTTCGAACACTCGCACGTAAATGAATGAATGGAAAAGAAAATGAATGAATACATACGTCCGTCGTATACACAAGCATAGGCCTACATGCACATGTCTGCCCATACGCTACTGAGACATATTGTTACCATGATGGCTAATGTCATGCTGTACGCTCATCCATATAGAGATAATACCTTGATCCCCGCGACCCTTAGGGACTCGAGTGTCTCCTGAACGCCGTCCTGCAGGAGGTCCTCGACCCCGGTGGCTCCCAGGAGGTTCAGATCCGCTTCCATCCTGTCGGTCACTTTCCTCACCGCCTCTTCTCTGTTTTCCAGTACCTTTCGTGGGAGAAGACTCAAGATTAAAAGACTATTGATATGTGTCGATGTGAGGTTAACAACACCCGATTTCTACATTTATAAATCGATAACACAGACGACTCCTGTATATCAAAACAAATTTTCTTTAGTTTAAACAAGACGCCAAAGACAAAAACAAAAAAGAAGCTATCTGTTGCGCATTGAAAGTACTTGGGGTTTCAAGGAACACTAATTGTATGTACTGTACGTAGCTCTCACTTGCTTGGCCTGGGACAGCTGTGCAGCGAAGTCCTCGTACTGCTTCTCGGTCAGCTCTCGCCGCGCCACCGCCAGCGTCCTCAGTCCCAGCTGCAGGAGGAAGGAGGAAGGAATGCATCAACTATTCATGTCTATTCAGTTTTCTCTCTCCTGTCTCTCGTCTATTTCCTGTTTCTCGTTCTCTCTCTCTCTCCCTCCCTCCTCTCTCTCCCTCTCCTCTCTCTCCCTCCTTCTCCCTCTCTACCACCTCCTCTCCTTCCCTCTCTACTTCCCTCCCTCTCCCTCTCTCCCTCCCCCTCCCTCCATATATCGATCTATATGTGTCCAACTCCTCCTGCATGGATATTGTCACCTTCAACTTACCATCGCGAAGTCATTGATGTGTTTGAGCGTGACGTCATGCAGGCGTTGCTGATCAGGGGTGCTGAGCAGACAGCGCTTCAGCACGCTGCTCTCCGCCCCTTTGGTCAACAGCCAGGTCCTGCGGTCTGCTTCACTCCGCACTACAACTGACATGCACTTCCGGTCTGGAAAACGTGATTTTTATTTGCTTTCGTTGTCTTGAATAATTTTCTGTGTCTGGTAATTACTTGTTCGTTTGTCTCTGGTTTGGGTATTTGAATACCTGACAAAATCGTTATCTGTTACTAGAAAGTGTGTAGAAAAATCGTTATCTGTTAAGAAATGTGTAGAAAATATATGTTGGAAAGTGTGTAGAAAAATCGTTATCTGTTACTAGAAAGTGTGTAGAAAAATCGTTATCTGTTACTAGAAAGTGTGTAGAAAAATCGTTATCTATTACTAGAAAGTGTGTAGAAAAGTCGTTATCTGTTACAAGAAAGTGTGTAGACTGTTCTCTTAAGATGTTTATCAGCAGTGAATACATTGGAATTATTTTACTGTTTTTTTCTGGTGAATAAAGCGTTATCTATTACTAGATAGTGTGTAGAAAAATCGTTATCTGTTACAAGAAAGTGTGTAGATAGTTGTCTAAGATGTTTTTCTGGTGAATATCTCTCAAAATGCGTCAGTAATGTTAGACTACATCGGTTATTAGCAAGCATGATTCTGATACTCGGTAGCCATAGATGTCATGACTCTAACGTAAAGGATCAGCGCCCATCCAAACTCACCAGAATCGAATTCAAGAACCTGTAATAGAGTGAAGAACTTCGTCTTTCCTCGCACTTTGACAGTCAGCTGACCGTTGTTCTGACCCTCAAACACCACGCCGTAGCTGAGAGAGAGAAAAAAAACAGCCTGTACATATCACCAAAGCGATATTCACAGTAATAATCTTCATCATCAAGAACTGTGATTAGAAACAGCATTCAACAGGGTCCTAATCTGGGGAATTCATTTGAGAGTCGGCCGCCAAGCCAGGTTTAGCGCCATTACCGCAAATGATACGAATGCGCCGTTCGAGCCATGATTTCGGTGTTCATTAAAGTTACTAATCAGTGATTACCTGTATATCATGATGCGAGAATTTATGCAAAAATTGTAATACAAGTAATTCATTTTCAAAATCTAACCAAAGTATAGATGTTTTGTTAATCAATAAGTTACAGACTTCTTAATCCGAAGTCAAGGCTGCATCGTCGCATTCGCACGGTTTACGGTAATGGTATCTATGCAGCAAGCCCTTACCTCGCACAAGCCTCCACAAGCGCCTTCTCGTCGGGACTGGATGCTTGGTAGTTCTTCAGCTCCGAGAGTTCGATGGTATCTGAAGAGTCGGTCTGTTCAGCTGTGGCTCTGTCGACCGCCGTCACCTGCACCGTGTGGCACAGTGCCAAGGTCTCGAGAAGTGTCACCAGAGGAACCTGTTGGGATCAGCACGTTCACTCTTTGCTTCTGGTTTGCCCGGGTGATGGACAGTGCCATTTATATATTTTTAAAGTTAAAGATGCAGGGGCTAACAGTCACAAGTAAGAATGGAAAGGATATTATGACATTCTCGAGAAGCATTGCCCATTGCGCCCACACTTAGACCCAAAGAAAAAAGGCGACACCCACAGGCAAAGAAGGCAGAGGCGCCGTCAAGTTCGTCTGTTCATCGAGGACCTGAATTTCTCCCGCCACGTCGGAATACTTGACGCCGTCGACGGAACAGTTTCGGAAGTGCATTATATTTTCCGTTAGCGTTCCCGTTTTGTCCGTAAATAGGTATTGTACCTGTGGGTTAGAGGATTCTGCTAATGTAAGTCACAAAAAGAAGAAGAAAAATAAAGTATGTTCATGTATTTACGAATATAAATTAAATAATATTATATAATTAGATAGATATATTGATTAATAGGCAGATAGATATATTGATTAATAGGTTAGATAGTTACATATGATATTTAATAAAAAATTGGTGTCAGTCATCAGTATTCTTGCTAAAAAAATACTCTAACTAAATAGACACAATACTAAACAGATATATATTTTTCTAATCAACAACAAATCATTCAGAGCAGCTTAGTCCCAATCACTCGAACGAAATAAAACAGAAAGAAGCGCAAGACAAAGCAAGATCGAGTCGCCCGAGAGCAAGACCTGGCCAAGTTCCTCGTTGAGATCGGAGGTGTTGATCCTCGCGCCCCTCGTCCCCCGCGCCGCGGAGGTCGTCGTCCCAGGACATGAACATGGGTGCCGAGGAACTTCTGCATTCTCTAGGGGATGAGAGGGCTGTGGTCAGGGGAGGGGGGGGGAAGGTTGCATTTCGTTTCTCTTTTGTTTGTCTTTTATTTTGGTCTACTCCTTTCTCTTTTTTCTCTCTCTTTCTGTCCCTCTCGTTCTCCCATTGTTGTTTCTGTACTCTCTCCTTCCCTTTGTCTCGTTCTCTTTTCTCTCTCTTTCTAACTCTGCCTTCGTTCTGTTTCTTTGTCTGTTTCTGTTTCCTATCGTATCTCTCATTCTTCCTTGTCTTCTTCCTAGCTCCTTCTCTCTCTCTCTCTCTCTCTCTCTCTCTCTCTCTCTCTCTCTTCTCTCTCTCTTCTCTCTCTCTCTCTCTCTCTCTCTCTCTCTCCCTCTCTGTCTTCCTCCTCTCTTCCTCTCTCTCTTTCTCTCTCTCTCTCACTCTTTCTCTCTCCTCTCTCTCATCTCTCTCTCTCTCTCTCTCTCTCACTCTTTCTCTCTCTCTCTCTCTCTCTCTCTCTCCTCTCCTCTCTCTCTCTCTCTCTCTCTCTCTCTTCTCTCTCTCTCTCTCTCTCTCTTCTGCCTCTCTCATCTCCTCTACTTCGCATTTCCTTTCCCCTCTCCCTCTCTGTCCTCTCTTTCCCATCCTACACCCCCTCCTTCTGCCCCTCCCCCTCTCCTTACCCAGTGTGACGTAGAGTGAAATCGGAATGATGTAACTGAAGATGATGAGGAAGGATATACTGTCTTGGTAGACGTCTCCAGCTGTTACCGTGGCGTTCGTCGGTAGGTCGATGTACCACATCTCATCTTTGGACAATAAATGAATGGGTAGAATAAGAAGCCACCGTAGCTTATGAATAGGTAGAATAAGAAGTCACCGTAGCTTATGAATGGGTAGAATTACAAGGCACAGTAGCTTATCTTGTCTGTAAGGCGTTGTGAGTATATGGATGGAATGAATATATCTGCATGTTAGATTTTATCTGGAAGATATTTCACACGTTGATATATCACACATTGTAATAAAAAAATGAGCGAATTCATAAAGAATATCGTCAGTGTGACATATCTTATCTATAGGAATTAAAATAGATAAAAAAGTATAGATATAAGATCAATCAAGGTTATTTATAGCAACATACTGTAATCTTTCAAGGAGTCGTGCTTTTTACTTACCCAGATTTTAAAATACAGAAAAACTAGCTCTTACTTACTTGTCACCTCTTGCGTGTACAACTCATATTTGAGTATAGTGCACAAAG